CCAAACGGGCAAGAAGACCCGAATTATAGATGAACAGCAGAACAGCAGGCAAAGCACTCCTGTGCCTTGCCGAGCACGATCGCGGCAAAACTATTTCTTGATGACGACGATAATGAGGAGCACGAATCGTGCATTCTTAAGCCATCCAGATCCCGATCTTCTTCAAGTTATCATGATCCAAGTCGTACTTATCCTTCTGCTAGGGGTATCACCGATGAGCCAGATCCCACATGTGGTTGGGATGGTGCTAGAAAAAATCAGGTGGCGATGGATGCCAGAAACGGACCTCATAGTATGGCGCCAAGTGTCTCAGTTGACTTGGCGCCGGTTATATTTTAGAGACTGAAGACTTAGTTCGGAAGGAGGTAAGGCGGGGGGTGGGGGTGGGGGCGGGGGAGGAGGTAGATTGCAAGGTGTGCGGAGGGCGGGGAGGGGGAAGGCCGGAAGTGCTGGCTGCCCCGCGCTGCGCTACGCGCCGGCCGACATGGCTGGGTGATGCAAACCTGGGGTGCGGTTGACGTCATCTTGTTGTCGGCAATTGCTGTGCGTCAGCCAGGTCATGGCAGGACATGGCGCCTTCCAGATTGTGGGAGATGACGATGCAAGTGAGATGGCCGGCCTCTTCTTTCACACAACTGCTCTTGTCGGTAAGAGAAAGATTATTGGCTCTGTGCATATGATCGAAAGGAGCAGCTCCTCTAGGATGCTTATAGCTTGTATTTTGCTGCTCGTCATTAGGCTGTTTTCTCCCTCCCTGCTCACGCTGGCTCAGCAAAATGAGTGTGATTGGGTGTACTTGGAAGGAATGGGGGGCGGGCTCACTTCTTGTGCCCTTGTATATGTCCTCTTCTCCCTCTCTGCCTACGGTTTACCGGGCAGCTCTGTTTGACGATATATATATATGTATACACACACACACACACACACACACACACACACACACTGTGACACACACACACAATCAAAATAATAATTCGCAGCCAGGAGGCTGCCCTATACCCGGTTGCATTTTTTGCAGAAGCGGATTTCCCGATCGGGAAATGTCGACCACCTGTTTAGGAGCTTAGAGGGGCGTAGAGGGGGCTGCAAGCTGCAGCACAAGGGTGCGGTCGTTGTCATAAAACCGACCGGTAGTTGGGGCGGTCGTGACAGAGGTTGAAGTTGGACTACCAGCGGTAGCAGGCAGAGGTCGTGCGGCGATGTCTGTGGCCGGCACCCGACATTTCTCGTTTGGGAAATTCGAATGAAGAAGAAAAGAAAAAACGGGGGTCTGGGAGGGTCGCAGGGCTGGCCATTTTTCCGTTTTCCTTTTCTTTTTTTCTTTTTTTTCTCTTTTCTGCACCGCCGTCGACGTCGATCGCACACACCTGAGAGTTGGCATTCGGTTGTGTGCAGGGGTTGGTGGAACTGTGTGGCCACGGTTTGGAGCAAGTGCAGAGGCAGGCGCGTTGCATCCGTTGTCTCTGGGTTGATGATGGTGTGTCGTTGAGTGTGAGCGGGACATTGGGGGGCCAGTCGTTGGAGTGGAGGCGGTTGAGGAGGAGCGACAACAGACAGCGCAACAAAGAACGGGTTGACCTCTTTCTAGGTAGAAGAAAACAGGAAAGAAAAGAAGAAAAGATTAAAAAAGAGAAAAAAAAGAAAATGGAGGGGGTCATGGGCATGCAGGAGCGGTTGACCGCAAGCCAGAGACGCGCAAGGACGACAAGAAGAGGAAGACCAAGACGAAGAGGAGAATGACAAAAGGGAGGAGAATGACAAAAGGGGGGCATCGATGGAGTACATAAGCTCCTCTCTCTTGTTGATGAGGGAAGACGTGTGTCGGCATAACTGTGGGCGACATTGTATCGAGGGCGTGTTCAGCGACCTGAAAGGTATGACATTTTTTCACAAACGTGACCAACTATTGGCCGATGCCTTGCTTATCCTATCGATGGAAAACTCTCTCTCTCTCTCTCTCTCTCTCTCTCTCTCTCTCTCTCTCTCTCTCTTCACAAACGTGACCAAGTATTGGCCGATGCCTTGCTTATCCTATCGATGGAAACTCTCTCTCTCTCTCTCTCTCTCTCTCTCTCTCACGCACACACAAACAAACAAGTTGAAGGTAGAGTCCGTGCTGTGTAGAGATTCCCTCTCTCTNTCTCTCACGCACACACAAACAAACAAGTTGAAGGTAGAGTCCGTGCTGTGTAGAGACTCTCTCTCTCTCTCTCTCTCTCTCTCTCTCTCTCTCTCGCCCACACACACACACACACAAACACTGGACATGATGTTGAAAAACAGATCACCGTGGAGTTTGATCGAAGCGTGGTAATCATAGCAAAGCCCAGATGACAAGGAGGGAATAGAACAATTATGACGAGAAAGCAAAGACGACCCGTGCTCTTCTTGCATCATTGGGCTAACAGGTAGGTCAGGACATGTATGATGATCCTTCGCGCGATTATTGCTGCCTATCTACTGATTGGCGGAGAGAGACGCTCAAATGGAAATTCGTGGGAAACCCCGCGGCCCCAAACGACAGATTTCGAGATTGTTTGCGTTTGCTATTCTTTATACTTCCTCCTGCTGGGCCTTCTTCTGCCTTTCTTCCGCTTATCCGGTCGTAATAAACAGCTAGCTGTTAGATTCGGAAAGTCGACATCTCTCTCTCTCTCTCTCTCTCTCTCTCTCTCTCTCTCTCTCTCTCTCGCTCTCTCTCTCTCTCGCTCTCTCTCTCTTTTTTTTTTTAGTGACCTGTGGGTTCCAACTCCTTGACCGCCGAGCATTCATTCATAGGCACAGGAAATGCGTGCGCACAGAGAGAGGAGTATATGCCGCTCAGGTATCACAGGTAATTAGTGCCCTGTGTGTTCGAACTCATTGACAGCCGAGCACTAACCCGCACAGGAACCGCATGCGGACATTGGCGGAGTACATACCGCTCAGGTATCAGGTAATTACAAGTAATTAGTGACCAGTGGGTTCGAACTCATTGGGTGCCGCCGACGTTTCACAAGCACAGGAATTGCAAGAGCTGGCATGAGTGCGGAGGACCGGATGCGGGGAAGGCTGGGGGTGGGAGGTGGAGGCGGGAGGTGGAGTTCGAACTCGTTGGTCAAGATTTCGCCGCCGGTAGCGTACACACTGCGGCTATGTATACTCGAACGACGTGGCCGCGCTTTTACAGCCTGCGGCTATCTATACTCGAACGACGTGGCCGCACTTTTACAGCCTAGCATGGGTGCACGTGACCACACTTACGTCCACATACGTGTAACCTGAAAGGCTCCTATGGTAGTTGTGAGTATGTATGCCCTGATTCATTGGGGTATTATAATAGACGAAGTTTCGAAGTTGGAAAAAAAGAAGGGGTTTCAAAAAAAAATAGAAAAAAAAAGGGGTTTCTACTGTAAGGTCTCCAGGCCACTACTCAGCATTAGACAAGTACTTGGACTGGCAGCCAGATACATGTGAACCAATCCACGATTTTGAATGTACCTGACCTTCATCCTGTCCAGGTATGGCCGTGAAGGCATGTCCTCCTTTCTGTTTTTT